AAAAAAAAAAAAAAAAAAAAAAAAAAAAAAATGAAAATGCCTGAAAGAAATAATCTCTTCATTCATCGAAAATCTCTCCGAAAACCTATCATCCAAGTAATCCCAAATATGCCTTAACATAAAATACCTCCCTTACGCAGATAACCTCACTACCTACACTTCCGTCCAACCCTACCGTTAATAATCAATCACCACACTACCTCCTGCAACACCCACTTATGTGATTTTCTCAATTAAAAACTTTCAAGCTATGAGGTACAACTAAATAAATCACATTACTTTGGAACGAATAACCCTAATTTCCTACACGTAGAAAATGATTATGGTTCGCCTGATCACTCAAGTGGCTTTAAATTAGAATCGAACACGAAGAGGGTACGTTAAAAAACCACATGTACAGTCCACTAGACGACAAAGAATAAGAAATCAAGAATTCTTCCCTAACCAGGTGAATCACTTTATAAACGCTGCAAAGAAACAAATTCATTTCAACTCTTTATCAGAACAATGAAGGAATTAGTAAAATGCCAACTTATTATAAAAACTATTGTGCCGTCAAAAAGCTCATTTTTCCAAGTAATAAAAACATACGAAAAAAAATTAAAAAAAAAAAACTGTGAAACTGTGGCAACCAAATAGTTAAGAAGAAATATACTGAAAATGAAAGCCCGTAATAAAAACATTATTTGGAAAAAAGTGGTTATACACGTCATGATATCAACGCCGATTGATTTCAAAATCGGTGACCGTATTTCATATGCATCTTGAAAATCAAAACCATGACTATTTTTGTTGCAAATAATTCTAAATAATAGTAACAATAAGAAAAAAAGGTACAAGAGTATTATTAATAAAGTCGATAATAATAAAAGCAACAACGACAATAAGAGAAAAGATATTAAAGCAACCTGTGAGAAAAAAACTATGTATACCCCCTTAAATCAACCATGCAGTCTAAAATGTGCTAAGAACAGAAGAGACTTTACAGCAACTATCTTTATCGTTACTGCTACCTAGAAGAATAAAAACATAAATAAATAAACTAAAGTTCAATAGTAATAAGTGAAGTAAAGAAAAATAAAAAACCTGAAAATTTTTATCAAAATTCAAATGTATGAAAAGCGTATTGACTCTCAATTAAAAAAACAATGCATATATATGTGTTAGATTACTGAACTAAAAATCCATAAAAGCTTAAAATTCTTTCAAAGCTGCAGTAAGAAAAGCTTCTTTGGTTCAAAAACTCTGTGATAAGTTTCATCACTCATCTCCCTCTAGTTATAAACAACTAAATATTTTCAATGCTCACCGTATAATTGAATCTACAATAGGAATTTCTAAGCAGCTCAGTTGTTGTCTGGTTTAACAAGACGTTCCTGGCTAAAAGATCAACATCTAATATAAATGCAAAATTTAAAGCTTTGGCCGACAAACTAAGCAAATTTAATTAGAGCCATTAGTGGAGCAAATTATACCTTAAGAGCCCCTGCACGCATTCCAAGCAAAAACTAAACGATGAGGTAATAACTAAAATTAAAATCCTTTTTCAAAATATCTGAGACTTCTAAACTTCGCTGTGATTTCCAGAAAATTGAAGCAATCTACTGTGTTTTAAAAAATAAAGTTCATTAAAATGGTACCTAATTCACCTCTTCAACAGTAAAAATGATTATTTTTACAAAAACACTAGATAAAATTAGGCCTTGTTCATGTTTCCAAAAGCTTCTTTGATAAATCAACAATTCATAAAAACGTTCAAAGGAATCTCAAAAGAAATCTTTTAAATCCATTGTTTCTCACATCTCGTTTCAGTTTCACAGATGTTTTAAACTTTCCACTTACTGGCATTAACAGTTCTCCCAACCCTCTGATCTTATTCCCTAATAAACTTTTAAAATAAAATAAAACATGGTAACGCAGTTGTTTGCCAGTAAATGTATGAAAAGGCAGTCAAAGTGGAATGCCGCGAAATAGCAATGTGGCTGTGCAGATATGAGTACTTCAACAGCTAGTAATGAAGCGATACTTAAATAACAACCAAAGAAGTTATTAGCTACTTAATAAAATTTCAAAACACTTACTGCCGAAATTATTCTTTGGTACTCCTGCACCTGGTGAATAGATCTGAAACGAATAAATCAATCAAGTAATACAAAAAAAAAATTCAGTAAAATTGCCGGCTTTCGCTTGAGTGTGTAACACTATGAGATTTTTGTATTGGCAAGTATAAATGACTATACCCAACCCTAATTTAAACAACCCCAAGAATTACAATGTGACAGTCTGAATAAGACAGAAGAAGAAATTTATGTACTGTAAAGCCTATTAAACAGATAAGAAAGTAATGTGCAGCTAATTATTACGGTCAAAAACCTTTCTTTAAAACTTAAAAAAAGAAAAAAAAGATAAAAAAAAGAGAAACATCCGTACGCCAAAAAATCCTCATTTTTAGGCAGAGAAAGAAATAAAAAACGAAATTCCTGTCAGCTAAACCTGATTAAAAAAATTTGACACCATAATTCCTTCACAAACCATATAAAATTTCCTAAAATACAGATTCGTCGTACCGAAAACTTAGTATTTCACCCAGTACTACTTAAAAATTTTAATAAAAAACTCGCATTTCAACTTACAGGTTCTCGGCCATCCATAGCATCTAACCACTGCCGCCTATCTTCCTCCGAAATTGCTTGCAGAGTAATCATTTCTTCTCTATCACTTGATTCCCCAGTAACGACAACAACGATATCGAAACAAAATCTTTAAATAAGGGAATGATGAAACGAATAACTGATAAACGAAGAACACTATCAAAATCTTAGAGGTAACAAGGTGATTTATTTTGCTTTTGAATAAAACTAAAAAACCTCTTATCAATGCTATCCGAAGCTCTTCTAGTACAACTTCTCAATTTATACGTTGTCAACTGACCAATCGCCTCCTTCATATCCTAGAAGAAAAAAAAACCATAAAAAGAAGCCGACAAAAAACGTGAATTCAGGAAAATCAAAAATGTCTGAAAGACTTGACTAAGACTACAAATGCATTTTTTCTTTAACAAAAGAACTAAAAATGGAAAACAGAATCCTTCAAACTTCTATCGTACAAAGAAAATAAGCGATATTTTACCAGTTAAATGCAACCACGGCAAAACTTTTCAGGCATAATTTTTGGCAGATGTTACAAACAAGTTAAAATGATGCTGATAATAAAGAAAAAAGAAAAAATAAGAATTTTAAATTCATGATAATTGTGCAAAAGTTCTAGTGTTTTCAACTCATCTTGAAGACAGAGGCTCAAAAATGAGCCTTCTGAAAAGTCTTGAGTTTGTATCTTATTGGCTGCCCGACTTTAAGAGCGATGTAAGAAATGATTGTAAGCTATGAACGACCAAATACAGACCGATTTGACGGTGCTGTTAACAGGCATCATGGTTAGTATCCGGGTTTCTTTTTGGTATACACAGTAATATTTGGTCCAGCGGCTTGATAAAACATCTCGACCGATCGTTTCTGCAATAAAACACCACTTTAACTTTGAATGCAAAAACGAGTGCAGTTCAACACAAATGTAGTAGTTTATATCAATTGAAAAAAAAAAAAAAATAGTAATAATAATAATGAAGCAAAATGAGAATAAAACAGACTTGGAATTTTACTTTTTTCCAACATGAATACATAACCCTGTTTTATATTTGAGATGACATTTGATGGCGTAGGCAATTCTGAATCTGCACCACTTTCAGCGAAAACCTTGATAAAAAAAATTCTACCGTTAGCGGGGAACATAAAAAGAAGCTTAATGCAATCTGGGACCATATAATTCAAAAAATTGAAAATTAAACTTTCTCTTCAAACTGAAAAAACAGCAGTAAAAACTACAGCATTCTTCAGATGAATTTTTAACATCTTGTCCTTCAGCTGCTCGTACTGTTCTTTTGTTTCTTCAAAGCTTTGCTTTGCCTAAAATCATGAAGTATCAACCATCCTGAAGTCACCAGGACGTCTTGCGAACAGCAACTCTGATGAGATAGATCCCATGTTAGAAAATTTTTGAAATGACAGAGGAATAAAAGAATAATTAAATGACACTTATTGACTTTGGTAGAAAAATGCAAAAAAAAAAACACCCGCAAGCCATTTGCGTCTAATAGAAAAAGAACTTAGTCATATTTGAGATAGTATAAAAACTGGGAATAACCAATAAAGGGACGCAGAATCAAATATACTTGGAGCTGAACACTACAATGATTTTCATACTTTTCAATTCCTATAAAAGAAAACAAAACAAAAACACAAAAAATGAGAAAAATGGAACTGAAACAGACCTTCTGTACTTTTGACTGAACTTCTCCTAAATACGGTTTGAAATCTTCATGTGTCACGTGGCCTGTAAAGAAAGATAAGTATATAAAAATAAATATCCTAGTTCAACAACAACCGTGAGCAGAAGAAATGATGACAACACTTACCAACATGGTAAAATGTAAGCCAACTATACAAAAATGAACTGAGAGTTTCTACAAATTCAAATTTCATTCGTTCTTGAATAGACTGAATGGCGGTCACATAATCAAGACCACATTTACAAAAAATTGCTTGTTGTGCGCTAAGCTGTTCATCAGCCTTCTCAAAATTATTCTTCCTCGCCTAAAAAAAGCAAATTTTTAAAACCAAAACTTTACCAAATCTCTTTATTATAATAATAGCAACTGAAACCAAAACCTATCCTCACCGTAGACAAGTGAAGGTATTTTTCAAGTGAAATGTAAAAGTTTCTTGACTCCTTTTCAAATCGCTTTTTATCATCGTGAAGAACCTGAAAGCCAAATTTCACGTCGATGGAAATTCATGCTAATGGACTAGGCGAGACAATTTCATCGCTGACGCGCCACAGCGCAAAGGATCATTCACCTACAAAAAAGGCCAACCTTTCCGATCCCTTCCACTCGAAACTTCCTAATCGGTTCAATGTAATGCTTCTCAGAATCTTCAACAATTTTTTCTCGATGATCTTCAATCTGGTTAATAAAATCACCATACTTACTCAAACATTCAGCTGAAAATATATTTCTTTTTCACAAATCTAACAAGTAATTACTTATCTAGCGAAAAAAAAGGTCCTTTCTCACAGGATGACTATATAGTTAAAAGCATCCTTAGAAATATTAAGGCGGAAATTATGAGATAAAAAGACGTCGAGCTACCATTCAAAGCTGTAAGAAGGAATGCTAACCAATTTTGCGCTCATCATCCGTCTGAGTAGTTCCAATTGTAATAAAGCGAAACTCCTTTAATGCCTTTGCAAAAGCTCGCTGAGCAGCAGAAAGCTCTACAACGCAAACTTTTTCATCATAAAGCTATTGTATAAGAGAAATGTAACTTTACCTACCCAGAATAAATTACGCAAACTCTAATAAACGAACCACCTTTAAACAGTTTTAATACTGCCCAAACATTAGTTTAAAACGACCTGTTACATAAAACAATTACTGAGCAAGCTAATATGTATATACCAAAATAAAAACTTATTTCTTTTAAACCTTTCCGAATGTCTAATCTTAAAAATCCACTCTTCAATACTGAAACGCAAGAGCAGCGTTTATCTAGAACTTTTTATCAGACAAAAATATTTGCTTTCTTAGAAAGACGCGTGTAAAATAACTGAAAATTCCACTCTGAATTTCGCTGATTCTCAGAAGAACTGACTTCAGATAAACTCTGTTGCGTAAAACACGGTCTTGAAGCAAAGAGCTATCTAATTCCTGCCAATTTTACAAAGTCTCTGAGTTTTATCAAAAAAAACCAAAATAAATGCAATAAAACAGAAAGAAAAAAAAAAGAATAAACTTTTTAAGGCAAACAACTTATATTTTGTAAATGTTTCTATTGGTAGCGCTCAGTAACAGAAATCTGCAGCCTTTTATTGTAACCGAAATAACATAAGTGAAACCGACAATTTTTAATTAACCTACCATCTAATTTCGATGGTTTCTACCAATTGTAAACCTTCAGTTAATCATCGCTTAGCCAAAGTAAAGAGAACGGTGAAGACAACTATACTCAAGTTTTCAAATACAATATAAAGCTACAAAAACCAAAAACAAACAAATCGACCAGAAACTTAAATTAGAGATGGAAAGACGCAAACAGAAAAGCAGCAGAATCGTATTTAATTATGTGTTATTCGTTATAGTAATCATGACTGCAGCGTCCAAATTACCGCATTACAATCAACGATCCTCGCTACAACTCCAAAAGTAATCACAAGAAAAAATTGAAGACTAGACAGTAAAAAAACGACTAAAAATTTTAGTGCCAAAAAATCTTCTTCTTAAAAGTTCTAAAATACTAGGTTTTTGAAGCAGTTTAAAGAACACAAAAAAATTCCAGTATAGAGAAATAATAAAACAAATAAATAAAAGCTTTCAATCTTAAATATTCATCAAGCAAACCAAATAAACGTAAAAAATTCTTTTTCGTTTTGGTAAAAAGAAATAACCAATCAGAATTATCAGTAACAGATAATAAAAAGAAATTTCAGGTAAACGAAACGCATATGCTAGCGACTACGAAACAGTTCAGCAAAAACTACTTTCCGGTCTATTTTCCTGGCTTCCATAGAGTCAGCAAAGAAAGCTTTCCATGAAAATAAAATTGTGCCATGTTATGAATCTTTTAGTAGCTTGAGACCGAGACTTGTTTTAAAAATATATTGAAATTTTTTTTAAGCGTTACGACTCTAGAAAACTATGAACATTTGCAAAGGCAAAACGAATTACTCATTCCGCCCATTTTTCGACCCTACTGTTGTTCTGAAAGATAGCACAAGGTAAATTCTAATTTTATTCTTTCAAAAAGCAAACGACTCCAAAAGTCTTTCTATTTGAAAAATAATTAGTTGGATGACGGTATAAACTGCTGAACAGCTGTCGAATGTCGCTGTCAACGTAACACATATACACATCCTGATATCGCTAACGACTTTTTTACAGTAAAAACTAAAAGGTAAATTAATAAATTTACCTTTAATTTAAAAGACTAATAAAGTGTACAATTTTATAAAACTTCTTCTGACCAAATTGAGTGCGACAGTAGGCCCATTAGCACCTGAGCGACTTGGTTTATACTAAACTACTAGTAAAAGTGATTAACTATTTCAAATACTAGACAATCATTCATAAAACGAAAAACCAGAGTTATAAGGTACCAATGAACTTTCCGGAATCACAGTTATTCACAGGTGCTCCTTTTGCACTAAAGCCAAAAATGTCCCAAGCTATCAAACTTCTAACCAATTTGACAGTCAATAATCTCTACTTTCTCCCATTTCAATTTGATTATAAGAACAAGTAAAAATAAATCAAAGCAAAATTTTGCACAACAACGCTCAATGCAAAAATATCTCTAGTTCCTTAACAGATCATGAATTCGCATCAATCATTATATTAAGACCACCAAAAAAACCGCAAAATGAAGAAAGCATCTTTGAACGTAGTACTCGATAGTCCTTACAAAAGCGAAAGGAAATCTTAAGCACATTAGTTAGTTAAAACCTTGCTACTTTTAAAAAACTATTGTAATTTTGAATCCTATTCATCAGAGTTTAAAAAAATACTGTTCAATAAACGACAAATTAGGATTTGGTAAGTAAGAAAGAAATACATGTAAACTTCTTACTAAAATAACCTGTTTCTCCTTCATTTAAACATATTTAAATGTAAGCTAGTCTTGGTAAAATTTCTAACTCTTTAAGATGACTTTAAAAGTGGCCAAAACTCAGACAAGACTTCTACAATCTGACCCCTACAAGTAATCTGATTACTCTAGTAACCATTGCACATACAGTTTCTACAGCTTCGCTGCTTTAAAAACAGAAATTACTACAGTTCTTTTCAATCCTTTGCTTCCACTACTTTTGAAAATAAACTTACAAAAAACAGGCTGTAACATTTATCAAATAAAATAAAAATAAAAAGAAGAAAGAAAAATTGAAGGAACTAGTGTGCATAATCAGTCGAAAAAAATGAACGAAAAACTTCAACTCTCCCTTCCGAGAATGTCTTGATGACTCAAAAATATCTAAACCGGCAGAGTGATTTGCGATGTTTAGATGACTCAAATCTCCGTTATTGCAAATACACTGTGAAAAATAAAAAAAAAATTCAAAAACGCTCTCAAACTAACAATGATACAACAACAGTCATAATAAATAAACAAGTGAATAAGTAAACATACTTCTAGTACACTGTATCAGCTCACGACACTGTAGCTCAATATTTTTGATATCTCTATGAGCTGCTTCTAAGACACTTTCATGTTCACGAAGATTCTGACGGAACCACGGGCTATCGGATAAACAATCGGCAAATTCCAGTGGTCTTAATACCATTACTAGCACTACCGCTTTTTCTTTTCAAGCCAATAACAAAACGTTTAAAACTACAACAACAGTGATGATGACAGTATTGCTGATGTTGCTGACGATAACGACGATGATGATGTTGCTGGTGATGATGATGATGACAACAACTACGAGTGATCAATAAATACAGTGCAGTTAGTTGGTTTAGATTACAGAAAACTGACGATGAATTTTTGAAATTGGAAATAAAAATTTGCTGCATAACGAAGTTCATTCGCATTAGAGCGCTAACGAAATGCGGTGAAACATTTCGTCAAAATTATGTATAAATATTAAAAAATAGTAGCTTTTTCTTCAGTTCTTTCTTCTTTCTAACCACTCAGCTTCTTCCTCTTCCTTGCCTTCTTGTTCTTCGACTTCCTCCGCTTCTTCTAGGTTTCCTTTCTTCAGCAAACTTTTGTTTGCTTTTGTTTGGTCCTCAATTTTGATCAGTAACTTAGAGGGCTGCTGAAAATTAATTAAATGAAACTACTTTAAAATCATAAAATAACGACACTATATTAAGTTCGAATAAAAATATATTCATACAAAGCCTTCAAACAACATCAATAAAACGCATTTTGCTCATTTTTAACGAAGAAAAAATCCTTCGCTTCCCACTCACAAAAACAAAAAACCCATTTATAAACGAAAACCCAAAGCTTACACTAAGACATACACACATGTTTAAGGACGAACATAGAAGCTTGATAGTCGTTGAGCGTTTGTATCCCTTCTAAACCACTGAACATCAACAGTTATAAATGCAAGTTTTTTTCCCTACCAAGCTGGTCAGCTATTTCAAGTCAAACAAGAGATCTTTTAAAAAAACAGCAAAAAATCATAAATCCCGGCATGCATGCATGTATAAAACCATTAATAACCTTTGGTTAATTCAAAACAGAAAAGAAAATCAGACAGCCACACAATGGTTGAACTCACTGTCGTACGAGTTTTGAGATCTCACAAGCCTAATTTAGAAACCACTCAAGATACAGATAATTCCAAGCACAGACTCGAAGCAACAGAAGAACAACCAAAAAGTTTTTAAAGAAAATTTTTTCACCTACCCTTCTACCTGCAATT